TGAGGCAGAAATATTCTGTAGAGGTTTTAGGCAATATTCAGACTCACCAAAGCAGCACACGGTAAAGTCTTCAGTGTTTTTCTAAGGTGTTTTTTGTCATATGTCCGTTTAGGATTCATCTGGTGACCCAAATCTGTCCAATGTTTGCATTTGTCTCACATTTATAGGTGTTCTGGGGGAGGATTTTCCAGGCCTTGCCTTATATCACCCTCTTTTCTTCCTTCTGCCCTGTCCTCACTTCCCCTCTTCCTTTGCTTTTGTCATTACTTGCACATGTCCCAACATTCCCTGTGCCTCTTCAGTGCAAAGACACAGGTTGGTTACCAAATGACCTGTTTGCTCAGGCATTTTCAGAAGAACGGAAGCTGCTCAGAAAGTTTTTCCCAACTTTGAAAGCTCCTGCTTAGGGTGATATGGTAGGGTAAGATAGGATAAGACAGCATGGCTCCTGTAAGAGTAACCAAAGCATAGTCTATCCCTGGAACTGTTGAAATCACTCTACATGTACTAACTTCACGGCACTCAGTAGGTTTTATTATTTCTCTATTTACTGGATGAGGGAACTGAAACACAGAGATTAATGTGAATTTATCATGATGCAGATACAAATGGGTGGAGTCAAGTGCATTCTGTCAGCCACCGGATTGTACCACCTTGCAGACTTGAGTCTATGCTCCACTGCTTCCTGGCTCCTGGGCTACTTTATTTCACTGAGTCTCACTTTTTTCATCTTTAGGGTGAAATGAGGTGGAGATAAAACTTAACTACCATACTGTTGATAGTTCAACTATGAACTGCCCAAGCCTTCAGTGGTTTGCTTTCCTGAATATATGCCTCAAACCTGCCATTTTCCAAAGAAATACAAGCTTAAAAAATTCTTTACTAGAGAGCCATTCTTATCACTGAGATTGAGAATATATTGGTTATATTTGACAATATCACAAGTACTGAAGAAGAGATCTTTCTTCTCTCCAATCACCTTTACTTTCTCAGAGTTTTACTGGCAAGGACAACATTGCCACAGAAGTTGGCCCTCACATTACAGGGTCTATAGCCTTCCCAACAGACAAGGAAGGTCCCTTGCTGTAACCTGCTGAGTCTGATGGTCTTGGGCGAAGTCTTGCAGAACTTCAGTTTCTGATTATAAAAATATCTCTCCTCTCTCTCTCTCTCTCTCTCTCTCTCTCTCTCTCTCTCTCTCTCATTTTAAGACAAGGTCTCCATATGTAGTCCAAGCTATCTTGGAACTCCCTATTTAGATCAGGCAGGTCACAAACTCACAGAGGTCTACCAGCCTTTACCTTTGAGTGATTGGATTACAAGCATGCACCACCACACCCAGCCCATAGCATTTCTTTATAATCCATATATCAAGCATCAGAGAAATGAAAATGCAGAGTTGTGGGTGGTTTCCTTAATGAGCTTTCTCAATCACATTTTGTTTTGTCTCAAATAAATTCCTTCTCTCTTTGATCCCTGAAGGCCTCTCATTTGCTATCTTAATTTGTATTAAAGCATTTTTAACTTAGCTTAATATTTTTAACATTTAGAACTTTTTTACATGTCTATGGTTAGCCTGAAGATGGCCACATTTTCACTGGAAATATCTGAAGAATTATCTTGGAAAAATTCCTAGTTTCTAAATGTATAAAGGGACATACCTTATATCCACATTAAAGTGAATGACTGTAGGGTCAGTAAACAATGAGTAATAGCACAGTGCTGCATGTGTCCTGTTCTCTTTCACTTCTTTATTTACAAAGAAGCTATCAGAGCATTTTTGTGTACATACTTCTATTGCTTAGGTCACTTTGTAAAAAAACTGCCCTCAGAGCATTTCATTAAAGTAAATACATTCAAGAAATAATATTAGTATACATATTAATTTGTTCTATATGTACTTTCTTAGCCATAGACATACTTACTTATTTAACATACAAATACATAAATCATAATAATTTGGTGTATTTCCTTATATATCTGAATGTTTTTGAGTTCTATAAAGTATTGTATGTGAAGAGTAAGATATTTACCACTAAAGTACACATAAATCCTGATACTTACCCCTGTCTTTCTTTACTCGTGCTTTGTTATGTATTATGTATATTTTCATATTACCTGGTCATCTTGGGCAATTGGTACACGTTTCATGGTGATTTTTGCTATTGGTACTGTAGTTCCTCTAGATAAGAAGGTAATTTAAGGGCCCTGGATATAAACATATCTATTTAAAGTCATATTATTATATAGCACAACATTTCCAATTAAATATATATTCATATGGCTGTGCCCATAAATATTTCATATGTGATGAACATTTTCTGACAAAAAAGTTGAAATTGCAAAGCATAGATTTCAAAATAGAATTTTCCTCTAGCATCATCAATTACTGGTCCCCTCTTAAATTTAGTATACTTCATATTTGTATGTGCTGCATGACTGACCTCAGAGGAGAATCAGAAAAGTTATTTGTCTATTCTAACCTCTGGAAAGTGGTTAACTGTTGAACACACAAGCCGAACAAGACAACACAGCCACTTCTCTGACAGATTTTCTTTTTGTTTGCTTTTTGCTTAGGAAATTTTTAAATATTATTTTCTTCATTTAAAACCTGTTTTACTTGTTCTTTATTCTATTTGAATTCTATGTGTATTTTATTATACTTTAAATGTTTACTTCCTTCTTTTCCAGTTTTATGAGATCAAAATTTCAATAAAATTATATGTGCTACAACTGTTATTTGTATCTCAGTTAATTCCACAAATATCCTTTAGATATACTGAATTTAAGAAAAGCATGTTTTTGTTAAGTGATATCAACAACAGCTCTTGAGAGTTAGTTTCCTTCATGTAGTTTTTGGAGTACTTTATTCTAGCTTTAAAACCAGATTAACTGTGGTCCAACCAAATCTCTTCAGTGCAATAACAGTAGAATCTTATACAAATGAGTTAAACTTTGACTTTGTTTTCCTAAATCTTTAGAGATGAGGTTAATAATGCTTATGTCACAGAGCTGTATAAGAATTAAACAACAGCCTCTGTTTCGTAAATGCTGTTCCTCCAACCTGACTTTGTTTCCTCTTGTCTTTAATGTGGTGGTTCAACCTAAAATGGGAGAATGGCATCTTGGAAGTAAGTAGTAGTGGAATATTTTAAGCCCTGGTCTGCAATTATGTAAGTAAATGGAAGAAGTGCAAGGAGGATATTGATGGCTTGCTTTTCCTCAGCAGAGCTGCATTAAACATAAAGGGGAGTCATTTTATTGAATAATAAAAGCCTGACAATCACTGTGATTGGCTGGCGGCCATTACTGCAGTGCAATTCTAAACAGCTTGTTTTTCAAAGTTCTTCTTGAATAACTCTAAACCCAGCCGTCGCCTGGCCTGATCTGAAGCTCCCAAACGCGTTTTTAAAGTGAAGTTGCTCACATTCCAATATCTCTGTAAGAGAAGGGAAAATATGTGCATTAGAATTGACTTCTCTTGAATGTCTTTGGATCTGCATATTTTGAAGAGATAGAAAATTTGGAAAATTTAACAAACTCAGGTTGAAATAGTATAATTCATGAGACATGGAAGAAAACAGTCATGTTTGCAGGGATCTATGAAAAACAAAATAAAACAAAAGAATGAAGAGCAACATGGTCTCAGCACAAACGACATTTGTTCTGCATTATCCAGATGAAAATCCAGTAGCTTCTGCACAGGTCTTAAGGCTTCTTAAGTTCTTCTGGAATCCACTCTGATGCACCCATCTGTCCCTGTCAGCATTTCGAATCCTCTCTGGAAAGTGTGAATAATAAGTGGGTCCAGTTGGCAATTTACCAAGATAAATATTTAATGATTTTAATGGCTATTTTAAATATCTGTTGTTTAAATTGTGGATTAATACTTTATTTGATCAGTGAATTCTGCCCAGGATGTTGGAGAAGCATTTGCTGCTAGGCTCTCCATAATGAATGCATACTTAAATGTCAAAACTGTCCAGGTTAGATTCTTTCCTAAGCAGACATTTTATCTTAAACGTCAACGTTGGAAAGAGTGAGATAAAGATCAGAGCAGAAACGTGAGAGCCAAGAAACTGTATTTATTTTCATTTTAAAACGCAGACGTGGCAATTAATTTTGTGAAATCCAGAGTCAAAGCAACACAGAGAAATGGTTTTGATATGAATATTGCATGAATGATGAAGAAAAATTAATGCGTTGCAGAGCCCAGAAAGCTGATTCTGCAACAGGCAGCAGTAGAAGAATCCCAAAGCAGTCGGTGATTGGCTGATGGAATCTTTGTTCCAAAGGCAGGCATCCCGCAGCAGATGCTGGGTGAACTCCCTGCTTCGCCTCCACCTTCCAAAGCACTGCTCAGTCTCCTGGCTCATGCCTGAGCTTAGGCTGCCTTCTGGTGAGTGGCGCACATCTCCCCCTCTCGACCATCCGCCAGGTGCCTGCTGCCGGGCAAGCACTCACACAATGGACTCACTTGTTTCCCTCTCTCCTCTCCGTGGACTTGCAGCCTGAGAAAACAACTTGCAGGAGTCAAGAAGGACCCTGCCTGGAGCACGGACTCGAAGAGCCTTCCAGACAGGTCGAAGCTGGTGTTCACGCAGACAAAACAAACAATGCCCGGCCCACGAAAGAATAAATTATACACGTCCACGCCCCCGCCCAGCACCATCCAACAAGCAAAAGAAAACCTAGGATGGGATTTTTCCAAATAAAAGATTTTTGTTTTCTCTTTCAAACGGGGAATGCCCTCAGACAGCCAAAGGGATTGACGTTGGCTTTGCAGTGACAACGCCCCCCGCATCGCCTAGCACGAATCCAGGTTCCCTGAGAACCACAAGGTGGGAAACAGACCTAGGGGGAGGAAGTGACATAGGCAAAGCAGTTTAGAAGAAATAGGAACTTCGAGATCAAATGAACAAAACGATCGAGTTTTAAACCGGGCTCGAAGAGTGAAACTTGGGGAGAGGAAAGGACAGGAGCTCTCCGCAGGAAACTACCTGGAGATGAAAGCCGGAAAATAAGGAAGTGGCAAGCGGCAACTTTGCAGTGGACAGCAAGTTGTGTACCCTGCGAGGCCTCTGCTGAACATCCCTAGGCTGCCCTTTCTGGCGGGGCGCCCGCAGCATCAGCACCAGCGGCGGTACCAGCAGTAGCAGCGGCGGCAGCGGCGGCGGCAGCTGCGCGCCTCCGGCCCGCCCCGCGCGGTCCCCGCTAGCCCGCGCCCTGCCCGTCTGCGTGTGCGTGTGCGTGCGCTCAGCCCAGCGTGAGCGGCACCTGCTAGTCCCGGCTCGCCGAGGAGGCCGCCTCGCCGGGCTCCCACCGCCGTGCCCGCCGGAGCGGCTCAGAGGGCTTCGAAGGCTCCGAGGTCGCCCAGCAGCCGCGGTACCCCGGCCGCCTGCAAGTCCGCCTGGCTCCGAGTCACGTGTCAGTGCCCGAGGCAGAGACTGAGAAAAAAACGCGCTTCATTCCTTCTTCCACCGCCATACTGTATTTTCCTAAATCTCATTTTTATTCCAACATTTTACTCCCGCTCGGTGAGTACCTTCTCAGTGGCATTCTTGTCCTATTCTTTTTTTTTTTTGTCCTTTTTTTTGTTTTTGTTTTTTTTTCTTCTTTTTTTTTTCTTCCCACTTCTTTGATTATTGTTTGTATTTGGGAAAGCTGACGAGCATGGTCTTAAGCCTTTTCCTGAATCAAGTTTTCCTAGCATGCGATGGTTCTCTAGACAAGGCGCTGTGTCTGGGAGTCCGCGGTAGCTGTGCCTGCTGCGAGCGGCTCCCAAGTCCAGCAAAATGTGCAACTGGTTTTATGGAAAAAGCGTTGTGAAGTATGATGCCTATTTTTTCCCTTTGTAAAGATAAGAAAGCATGTTTCTAACTCTTTTTTACATACTCTTTTTCCGAAATCATTTTTGTGTAGGTGGGATTTTACAGCAGTATTCACAAGTTTGTCGTCTTGCAATTCGGTGCGCACCACTGAGCAAAGACATTAATTTTGCATTTTTATGACCTTTTTGGAAGCCTGTGAGAAATATTTCGTTTTTTCCCCTCCTGTTTTTGATATCAGTTGATAACATGAAACTTTTCTTGCAGCTAGTTAATGGGATTATTTTTAAGCAAATGCTTTTTTCCTCCTTTACATTAACTATGACTTTTGCACATTTGACTTTTTTATTTAAAAAAACCGAGATAATTTTATGATAGATATCCTGATATCTATATCTATATTATCCCTTCTTCCTCCTTCTCCCCTCCCCGTAAATCAATTTTCAAATAATGGCAGTGGAAGGTTTTTCTGGAAAAAAAAAAAAAATGAAGTGCGGTTTGGTTTCCTTGTCAACGGAGGATGAAGTGAACAGCACAACAGCTCGCAGAGAGCAGGTACTTGGCCCCCTCGGTGGCGTTCCCCGGGTGTGTGATGGCAACGCTGGCCAAGAAGTCTGTGTGCGCGCGTGTGTGCGTGTGCGAGGGTGTGTGCGCGTGTGCGCGCCGGTTCCGGGCTGTGTCCTAGCCCGCGATGGGGAAAGCCGCGCCGGGAGCCAGAACCAAAGTGCTCTCCGGGCCGCGATTGTTTTGAAGGTGCGCGCAACCCCCTCCCCCGGCGGCGCCTAGGTTGTGCTGGCTGCAGGGGCCACAGCGCCACGGGCGGTCCGGCAAGTTGGCCTGAGCCACCCGCAGCGCCGGAAGCAGAGGGCCCCGCGGGGCGCTGGCCCTGGGGCGATCGGGCCCTCCGGGCGCTGGAGACGGAGAGGTGAAGGGGCGGGAACCGCGGCCGCCCCGGAGCTGGCTGCTGGCCAGGCGGCGGGAGCTGGAGGTTTCTAGGATGGCAGCGGTCCCCGAGCGCCGCACTCTCGCCTCCGCGCCCCGCGTGAGCAGTGCTTCGGGTCCTTCCCAGCCGCCTCCGCTGCCTCCAGCGGGTTTACCTTCTTCAGTGCTGTCTTTCTCATGCTTTCCCGGAGGTGTTGCGTTGGTTTTAAGCCCTTGCTGGTGTCGTCCGAGGAGAGGGAATGGTCACTTGTACCGGTGCTCACTTGGGTTTAATGAGACGACGCCTAGAAGGTACAAAATTAGCCTTTCCTAATTTTAAACAGACAATGTTTCTCTCTTCTTACCCACCGGATACCGGTTGTGTAGATGTCCCCCTCCCCCCAGGCCAGAGGACAGGGTAGGGCAAAGGGTTACTGAAGGTGGCAACTGTTGTTGGTGCTGAAGTACTCAGTGTTGAATGCTTTCAAAGGTGTTTGGGTGTCCTGTTGCATGCATCTGGTAAACCCAGCAATACTTTTCATTACTATTGCATTGTCTGGCAATAAAAAGCCCTTTCTCTACTTGTCACACTAACAGAATCTGTCCCCAAATAAACACAGGGAAGACAGACTGAATCTTCAAATCTGGAGAGGAATTAGTAGTATTTGAACAGGTTGCTTTGAACCTTTCATTTTCTTCTTTTTCCCACCTTAAATGAGAAGTTCAGTGTTAAATATCTCATGCACACTCTTTGGCTTATGATAAAATAAACTTAAATGAAATTACTTTTTACCTCACTAAGTTTTCTTCTACGTTCTCTAAATAAATAAATAAATAAATAAAATAAAAACTAATCTTGAGAAAGCAGAAGGACCTATAGCTAAAGGATGAATAACTTATTCTATAGGATTTTCAAGGGAATGTTTCACTGAATCTCTGTATGCGCAGCTAGTGACGTGAAAAGTTCGGCGTTTTGTGTTTTATGCTTCGCAGTGAAAGAATATAGACTCCAAAGGAAGTTAAAAATGCACTGTACTCTCCAGGAAGACTTGTGTCACATTTGTCTAGCTCTTAAGATCTCCGCAAGTTGCATATGTGTGTGGTTGCTTATTTATTCATCTATCTACTTACTTATTCATTTACTAATATGTAGTCAGGCTGCTTTTCATTAAGAAGTCTCACTGCATCTTTGAATGAGGAAAAGACCATTTTGCAATCAGCAAACAACAGTCTTTAGTGCTTAAAGTGAATAGTTCTAAAATTTGAAGCTCGTATTATGACTCTAAAGCTAAATATAGAATTTCTTCTTTCGTACAGTGAGGTCATTGCTCAAATATGGCCTTTCATATGGCTTAGGCAGCAAACAAAAAATACTTTTAAAACTCATTTGCAATACCCTATGCTTTTTAAAAAAATATTTTAAATCGTGTTGTTTTATATATGTAGAACTTCTCACTTAAAATGATGTACGAGGAGATATACCTTTTGTAGGTCTTATGCATGATAAATTTTTTAGTTTTTTGAAAATCAGTTCAAAACAGAGGCAGAGCAAGGAAGAAAGAAATAAGTTGTGTGAAAAAATTGGGGTGTCCAAATTTTGAAGTTTTGTCCCAACTTTAGCGTGTTCTCTCCTGAGAACACAGACAGCTATTTAGCAGTTCTGTGTGTACTGTTTCCACAAGAGACTGAAACCAGAGACCAACAAGTGCCACCTGATGAGAAGGGGGTTTCTGGTGGAATCCTCTACTGAAAGACCATGGCTTTTGTTGTCTTATGCTTTCATTTAGTTAATGTTGATTAATTATATCAAATGTTTATTTTAAATTTCTATCTGTGACTTTCAAGTCATCCCAATCCCTGCTTCCACTAATTTAGCCGAAATTCTGCAACTACTTAAATGGATCACTTGTACTGGAGTTTGGGACTTTAAAGCTGTCCCAGGTAATCTACTAGAGTTGGCACCTCCTACTGGTTTCTTACAGGAAAATGTATGCTGTTTTCCTTGACCAAACTACCCATCAGAATTCTCATCAACTTAATCATTCGGTTTTTGTTGTTGTTTGGTTTGTTGTTTTTTTGTTGTTGTTGTTGTTTGATTTTTTTTTCTTACAGGTTATTTTGGAATATTTTTTTTAAAAGGGAATGAATTTGCTAGTTAAAAGGCCAGGGACTAACTGGTTGCTGAACTATAAACTAATCTCTAGTATTTTAGTTGTGGTGAAGTTTTCACAAACATAAAACTACCTTTTAAATTTCCTCCACTGTTTCTCTGCAATGAAAACTGTGGCTACTCCAAAAAATGCTGGATTTACGAATATGTTTATAGTTTCTGTTAACTTCAAACTTTGCAGAGAAACAAAGTCTCACTTGATTTTCTGCCTTGTATGTGTGGTTTGTCCGAACATGTTAAAAATAAGCATTCATTATTAAAATGATTTTTCAATAAAATTTTTCTTTATATTTAAACACTCAGGATGGATAGTGTTGTTTATTTCTGAGTTTGTATCAATGTACCTACATTACAGTGGTGTTATACATAAGACAGGAAAGTTTTAAGCATACTTTAGATATGTTCATTAATATCCTTAACTACAAAAAGTGTGTTACTTTGCTGTAAAGCGATGACTTAATTTTTGGGAAAGATTAGTTATTTAAAATCTATATTTAAATATGAAGTTTTACATTTTAAATGAAAATAACAATTTAAGATAAATAGAAGAATAATTTGAACTATCAAAAATTAGTATTTTCTCAGTCAAATGAAACATGTTATTTGGATATATATATATATACTATTTAGTATTCTGTTGTATTTTGCAGACACTTTGTCTGCATGTGTGTCTATTCATTGTGTGAGTGCCTGGTGTCCCTGGAGGCCAGTAGCAGGTGTTGGATCCCCTAGAACTGGATTTTTGTAAATGACCAAGTCGGTGGTGGGAGTTGAACCTAGGTCCTCTAGAAGAGCAGTCAGTGCTTTTAATTTATGTGTCCTGACTCCAGCCTTTGAATATGAATTTCTTAAGTAAAACACTTATGCTTTGATAAGTCAGTAAAAACATATGTGACGCCCTTGTAGTTGAAAGGTTTCCACCTGAGTGGGGTGTGGTCATGCCTTGAGAACTGATCTTCTAGGTCATGTAAGGCATCAATTCAAATGAGACGTCGAGTCCTCAAAAGCTCTGTTATGGAAGTAGAACACAAGTGCTGGGGATATTAGGAAGTATGTATACAATGATAAGAAACTGTAGAATTACATGTAGAATAAGAGTTAACTATATCTCAAAATGTGTTTTTAAATGAGTGGTTAGTTATGACTTCTATTGCACTACTATTAAGAAACATATATTGTCCTATGACAAGCTGAGGGAGTGATGATTCCTTTTCTTCCTAGTGCTCATAGGGCTCCAGAAAGTAAGAATTTGAGTTTACAAAATGTCTTTACTGATTGTCAATAACTGTTATTAACCTCTTACTGTTCCCATTTCTTCCAGTTAGCTGTAAAAATGTTCTTAAATTTTCATAATTTATCATGATTCTTTGATTTTATATGTTTTTTAGTAATTGACATCAGCAGTCTAAGCTTTCTCAGTAGTGCCAGTGACACTAGCTGGTTAACTTGTATCTCAGTCACAAGTACAACAGTCAGTGAACAGAACCTTAGGAGCAGGTGATGCTGTATTCCATCAACACCAAGTTACAGACTTAGCAGGTGGCATCTGAAACATCAGCCACTGTCTTCCATAGATTATAAACTTTCCTTTGCATAAAACATAGGTTTAATTCAGTTATTGTCAACTTTTGTTAAATTTACAACGTTGGTGAATTTTTCCATCTTTGTTTTGTTGGACTTATGCTAAGCACTAAACATACTTTTAAAAATTGAGGTTGTGATTTCTAGTTATTTCAGATACTTAAAAATCTTTGTTTGCACTGGATTATCTTCATGTTTTTCTTATACTGACTCAGGTTAGCTTCCTTTTGTTCTTTGTTACTAGCACAGAGATGGAAGTGGGAGAAATTTGTCTAGGATGAGTGTCCTCTGGCGTGTCCTTGGAGACGCCTCACCTGGAGTCAACACTGCAAGACTTATTTCTCTTACCATGTATAAATCTCAGTGAGAGGAGGATTCTGAAGGACATTGAAACACTGTCCTCATTTCCTGAAGTGAGCAGTGGAAAGCCTCACAGCAAAGTTATAATAGTCAAATGCAGATATAGTTTTGGTTAAATATAGTTTAACTCACCAGTTAATATTATTTTTGTTTAGAATAAAATAGTGGATTTTTTTCTCAAAATTTCACAGTGGAAATTAATTGCGCTTACCTGTCATATATGTGTTTAGATAAAATGTTTGTGTACATTTCAATAACTATATGCTGAATATTTATAGAAGTAACATATTCCTGAGCTAGTCTGGATATTTTATTAGTCAGGGATAGAGAAAGGCTATTTGTTCTTTATTGAATGTCAAAGATGAAAAAAATGGAAGAGAAATAACATTTCTTTTAAAAAGTTTTTATTAGCATATATTAATACTACATATAATTCATTGACATTTTCTTACATGGACACAATATATTTCAATTGTATTCAACCCAATCACCTTCTCTTGTCCCCCCTTCTCCTATTAGTCTCTTCTATCTCTATCTATCTATCTATCTATCTATCTACCTATCTATCTATCTATCTATCTATATGTATGTGTGTGGGGCGGGGGATATTCATCCTAACGAATTTCATCAGGTTGTTAATAGGAACACAGTGATAGCTTGTTTATGGGAGTGTAGGCACCTTACCAACGACTTACCAGTAAAGAAAATTTTTCTTCATCCACATTAGCCATTATGCATATAACCTTCCGGGAAGAGTTGGCTCCATAAGAAGCCCTTTCAAGACAAAGCGTAGATAGTTCCAATCATGTGGAGAGCTAGGCCATGTAATCAGAGCTGCTGAGTTCAAGTCTACAGCTATGTCATAGCTGGAAGTCAGTGTTCCATGCAGATCTTCCTCCCCTCAGCTCTTACTTCCTATTACCCCTTCTGTGATGGTCCCTATACCTTGGAAGAGGTTGTGGGGATGTTATAGATGTGTCATTTATGGATGAGCACTCAACAGTCATTTATTCTTTGTCCTTTAACCAGTTATGAGCCTCTGCAGTCACTATTGACCACTGGGGCATACAAAAAACAAAAACACCACCACCACCAAAAAGCTTCTCTGACTAAATCTGAGTGCAGCATTATCGTGAGCAAAACCATAGTTGTCAATGAGGCAGTTTGACAGGCATATCATGTGCATTTAGCAAACAATAGA